GTCCCTTAACGAGAGCGTTCGAGCTTTCGTAATACCGTATATTAATATTAATAATGAGGCGTTTCAATTAATAATTCGGAAAAATAAACTTTGAAACCCAGCGTGGCGAAAAAGTCGCCGCCCGAGGAATTTGGGCGGGTAAACTAAAAAGAATGGACGGGAAGTCGGTCGTCATAGAAACGCCCGGGCATGGCGGGCGGGAACAGCCGCGCTGACGAACAAGTTCACCGTGCCACGAAAGGACGTTGAGGGGACGTCCTTTTTTCCTTGCGTAAGGAAAGAAGCCCCGCCCCCTCTATGTTGCTCTTGAGACGATCGAGTGCCTTTGAAAATGACCTTCCCATCATGGTCGACTTCCTGTGCGTCGTTCGCACCGGTGCCCCAGTGCCTTTGAAAAATGACCATCCCATCATGGCCGACTTCCCGTCCGTCCTTTTTACTCGTCCTTCGCAATTTCCTTTCTCGGCAAGGCGAACTTCCTGTCCGTGGTCGTCCCCTATCGCCTTTGAAAAATGACCTCACGACTTCCTTTCGCGGTGTCCGTTCACCGCGCCCGTCCCCCCGTCCCCGCGAAGGACCCCCTTTCTTTTACGGCGGATTTCCGGTCCGTTCTTTTTGCTCCCCCCCCCCCCCCAATTTCTCGCGCAGCGACTTTTTCGCCACGCTGGGATTTGAAGTTTATTATTCTATATCACCATGATAAAACGCATCCTTATTAACATTAATAGGGGCAGAGGAGGACCAGGGCCCGCAACACAGGGAGAGAAGGAGTTCCGCTTCTTAAAGCGAGTTAAAAAGGCGAACGAAAACTTCAATGCTCTTTCTACGGGAAGAGAAAACGGTGCCCTCCTGTGGTGAAAGTCGGTATTGCGGCCACGCAGGAAAAAAACACCTTTTCCAGGGCATTTTTTGAAACTGCAAGGAAAAGACATCAACCATCCTTCTGCCTCTTTGCCTTTTGTGTTCGGACATGGGCTTCTACTTTCATTTGATACTGAATAGCCTCCGTCCCCAAAACTGGCGTCGGCTTTGAGATTCTCACTGCAATGGGAGAATAAACAACAACAGCATTTGCCCCATCAGTCTCTCACCGTCTCTCACATTGTCACACTTCCACATTCTCACCTCACCCTCCCTGTCTCTCACCCAGGGGACAGTTCAGCTTAGACAGCTTCTTTATGCCTAGTGGACCTGTTTGCTTTAAAATAGGCCTCCCTAGAAATCTTAGGCAAATTGCATAAGAAAACCCCATTGGAAAAGTCATGTAGGCTTAGGACCCTATGAGGTTTGACCCAAAAACCAACATTACAATTCACCTTGGAGGGCCTCTTCATGCCTAGTGAACAGCTTTCCACTCTTGTCTGCCAAGAAACCCTAGGCACGTTGCATAGGAAAACCCCATTGGATGTGGAGAAGTCATCAATGGTTACAACTCCATAAATTCAGGCTCAAAACCCAACATCTCGGATCCATTTGGAGAGCCCCTAACACCTAAGCATGCTTTTGGGACAGCCACTGGCACCAATATTGGCTTGCCCAAGAAAGAAACATCTGTGTTTACCAAAGCAAAAATAACTTCAAGGAATGTTGAGCCCTTTCCAGCAGGAGCCAATCCTCATTGAAGACAACCACTTGCAGTGGCCCCAAGGTCACCTGAAGTGCTCTTATTTCAACAGAGCCAAAATGGACATGCTACTTTAAATGTTCTTTTTTGTTCCATTAATTATTTTTTGTTGTTTATTCAGTGCAAGAAGGCCATGAGAAGGGGGAGTGAGAAAGGGTGTGTGTATGTGTACATTACATTTATTCGCCAGGCTGGGTTTAACAACCTTTGAACAACACATTTTACATGGGTTTTCAAGATACATCCTGTACACAATCACTAAACCAGGACATGGATTTTAGAGACAGTAAATCTGAGCACTGATTTAAAAGCCTTTCTTCTTCTGGACATTCTTGCAGATGTTGATGAAATAATTATTTTTCTTAGAGGATTGGAAGGCAGAAACAAAAAACAAAAATTAATGAAACACCTCAGAAGCATGCTACGTTCACTGTGCAAATATTACATCTCTTCAAAAGCTATTATAAGATAGGTATGCCTTTGGTGCTCCTGTTATCGTTACTCTTTTCATTACTACTCCAAGTATAAGTTATGAATTTTGTCTAACAGAAGGGTGGCATTGAGGTCACTGCTGAGCGCTCACATTTTTACAAAATGCATCCAACTTGTATTGACAATGACATGCTAAAATAACAGGCGAGGTCTGGAATCTAAACTCAGCTGTGTTTCTAAATACAAAAATGTATATTTACAAGGAAACCGCTTTCTTCAGAATCATTGTTCAAGTTGATAATATACAAGTATATGTTTTTAAAAAACCATTAGGGTGCTTATGATATTGCAGAAATAAGTAAGCAAATAAATAACAGAAACCACTAGTAAACAAATTACATTTGAAAAGAGAGTATCCAGATATTAATTTAGTCTAGCAGCAATTTCTAGTTCAGGATTTTTCCCAGAATTACACACTCAATTTTCCTCCAATTTCTTCATCACACGAAATAGGCTACTAATTTGTTTACTTCTTCTCCTCACTGATAGAGGCATACTTTCATATGTAAAATGGCATAATTTGAATATTTAATTATCAGATATGATTTAAATAAAAAACTAAAAATATACCATTAAAATCTATATGAAATAGTTAGAAATGGAAATTCTGAATAGTTCTGTATCAAGCACACTAGCTTACATACAATATAAGAGATGTTTAGTGTTGACTTTTTCATCCTAAGAAAAAGAAGCCATATCAGCTGGTTACCAGCTACAGATTCACCCCGCACCCATGTTATACCCTAAATAAATAATATAGGCATTTAGGAAAACACAAAGTCAAGTCACAATAAGGAGCTGGATTTTAATTTTAGTGGTGTCTCCGATGCACCCACAACGAGGTACTCCTATTTGTTCTGGTAGGCATTGAAGAATTGTGACGGATGTTCTTTCAGAGGGGAGAAGGCAGAGCAGAACATAGAACAAAATAAATAGCATTTGTGTTGCTCCTGGATACCATCCTTTGTTTAAAGAATTAGGACAATAAAAAAATATTTTAGCATTCATCACAGGAACTCAAACACTAAACTCAAGCAGATGAAGGTGTGTATGTATGTATATGTGTGTGTGTGTTCACAGAAACGATCCCTCATTTGTCAAAACACGTACACATTCTGTGCTTTAACTCATACTTCAACGTTTTTTTTCTCCTGAACAAGACTTACTGCACAATACTATTTTTATCTTCAGCTCAGCAGTCATGTGATGTGCAATAAAGTTAATTGTGCCACCAACAAGACATATTTTCCAAGAAATCCATATTAAGAGAAACTTTAGATAAGAAGTCTTGCTTTTGTGTAATGGAAGAAACAAATATAACACAATTTCTCCCCATTCCATCAACAAGAAAACAATTGAAATATCTACACATTTTCTTAAACAATAAGGTTCTGTGATTTTTCTCCGATAAAAAAATAATTGCCATGATATTTTTTTGTCTTCATTAATAAAAAAGGAAACTGCATTAAATGGGTTTCTACATTGCATAGAATGATTCTAACACAATCCAAATATCTGATCCCAAGAAGCACTTTGGAAGCAATTGCTAGTCCCAGCACCAGTACAAGGGGGATTAGCTGACAGACAACATCTTCAGTAGCACTCAATTGTATTTGAAGAATGTGAAAATAAATTCTAGCCTAAATAGAAACCATTTTTCCTAACAACCCTCAAATTGTACAATCAGGTATGCTCCTCAAAGCAGGGCTGTTACAGCATGCACAATTATGACCGGTCCAAACAACGTTGCTCGGTCCCATGCAGGCCTGTGGCTGAAAAATCTGGAGGGCAAAGAACACTCAACCTAGGGTAGCAGAATTAATAATTTTTTAAAAGAACAAATACACAAATATTGGTATTCACACAAATATTCTCTTGCTCTTGACTTCCTCATAACAGCAGCCTAACTTCCCCAATTAAGAGTGATAATTAAAGGCTTATTTATAAGCCTTCCAATTGTTGCTTCCTAGTTCTTGAAATCTCCATGGCAACCAATGGAAGAGTCATTGTCTTCATTATAAACATTGAGAAGAACAAAACTGTCATTCATCTGCACATCTCATAATTTAAGACTCACTCACTCTCACACACACCCCTAGATACCTGACACTGAATGAAGGACCGGCTGCTTCAGAAACTTCAGAGGGATAGTTCCAATCTGTGTAAGACATTTGCTCTTCTTCTCTTGTGGTACCCATAGGCTGAAGTACTAAATCATTTACGCGTGATTTGAGGGAATGGCCATGCCAACTGTCCCCAAGGATCAAATTAAAACAGATATAATTATCAGGAGACGATTGAAAGTCAAGTCAGAACATTGGCCGGTCACATATGTTCAAATATCCTATTGCTCCCCTTTCATTACAGACACAGGATCAGCTATAAGTAATGGCTAAAAACAAAAATGGGACTTTGAACTCTTTCTTGGTTATTTATTGGCTCATGAAGTGTTTCTTTATTAAAATATAAAATATAATTTCAATACTCTTTCCTGCATTTATTTTCTAGCCTCTGGAGCTCCTGAAAAATGTTCACTGATTAAATTAAATTAAACAGATATTTAGAATTCATTGTTGTTCAATTTATAATTTTCAGATATTTTAACTTTAAAGGTAGTAAGAGAATCACTGCCATTTGAAGTCAAATTATTACTTTCTATTCCTATGTACTCTTGATTCTATCATAAGAAGAGAAAGCCAATCAGCCTCGCTACAAGCTAGGCCATAATTCTGTTTTGTCCACAGAAGCCATTTGTATTCCTTCTGCAAAATGCTCAGTGGGCAGTAATGAAGGCTGCGGGCTTAGATCTCTCTACAAACCCCTCCATCGTTTTGGAACTAAGATGACGTGGTCTTGCCTTACAGATTCCTACAAGACCTCCTCTCTGCACTTTCCTTGTATTCAGCGGAACGGCCCTTGCAAATGGAGGTGGGTGCTTGGGATGAAGTCTGTAGTATGCCATTAGGCCAACTATGGAGGATGGGATCACATTCTAAAAGTCATAAAGAAAAAAAGAAGAAGATTCGTAACTCCAGAACGAGCCAAGAACCACTGGCACCAAGAACCATGGGTCGCTTCCAACCACAGACCTTTTGAGTCTCGGTTCCTTGTAGTCGACAATAGCAAGACCGGCAGACAGTGACATACAGCGATAACCATATTCCTTTAGAAGCCCTTTGAATCACTGACTCCACTGTTTGTAAACAAGAGACTGAGAAAGGCAGGGAGGATGGTGGCTTCTTCCACACACTGAGGGCTACGTTTTATTTCATGCTATGGTGGCAACTGTACAACAAATCCTGATTCCCCAACCCCCCCACCCGCCCCCAATTTCTCTTCCTCCCTTTGGACTTAAATGTTCCAAGATCATGATTCTGCATTATTCACGGAGAAACATTGAAATTGTTACTCTGAACTGGTACTCCAAGAAAAGAAATATAAACATTGCTACTATTTAAAATAAAAATAAAAGATAGATACCGCCATTTGCCCCGAGGCACCATCTTACTCTGAATGCTTTGAAAGTACAGAAGAGAATAATCTTCTGATCGGCAAGGGAGGGAAGGAAGGAAGGAAGTCCCCAGGTGCTTTTGCATAAAAGGACACCCCTTCCTTCCGATGGCACAAGAAAACCCAGGTTCCGTTCTCTGGGAGCCCGTCTGCCTCTGAACGCAGCCAGAGTTTCTGTATTCCTCTTGCCTTCGAGAGCAGGCATACCGTTCCTTCACTGCATGGCTGCGCAGGTTTTAACACCACTGAACTCTCCGTTCACCGTCATTATTTGGGTGGATTTATTTTATCATCTGAGCCAAGTGTGATGTTTTTCTTTGGCTGTCTTGTTCTTGCTTCTTACATAGTAAAACCAGTGGACTAGCCCTCACAAAAATGTGCTAAGTAGCCCAGAACACGAGTAGCTTGTTTCACATTCTGGAAAACCTACCTAAGCCTAACGTCAAAGTTGAGTCCTGGAATCATACAAGTCGAGCCTTCCAGCTTGATCTGTCTGACATCAAACAAGGACCTCTTTGCTCAATGGGCTTGTGTGGAACTAACTAAAAGTTTGTGCCAGTTTACAATTCTTTTCCTAAGGTCCACTTTATCAAGCCAAATATTCGCTTCACCAATCAAGGTTTTCTTCATAAACTTTCCTCCATTGGAAACAAGAAGAATCTAGGGGGAAAAAAGCAGAAAGTGATCTATTTCATATGAAATTAGAAAGATACAAGCACTTAGAATGCACTTAAAAAAAAAGTTCCTGTCACGTTAACTGCAGAAAACAGGTTGTTGCCCCACCATTTCACAAGGGCTCATGTCCAACTTGGTAGCTCAATATTGCCATGGAATATATTCATCATATATGCCACTTATTTGAGCAATGGCCCATTCCCCCCCCACCCCCGAGGCATTATAAAGGAAATTTCCTTCATCCAATGAAAGTTATTATATTACAAGAAAGACATTGGAGCTCAGGACTATAACACACACACACACACACAACCTCCTCCCTCCGTAGGGATTTCAAGCTCCAGTCTGCAACCTGGTGACTCTTTGCCAACTGTTTAAAACTGGCAATTTTAAGGAAAAGTTAGAAAAAACTCATAATAATAAAACAGCAATTGAGAATTATGAATAAGAAATGTAATCTGTAGCTACCCAATTGGATTATACATCAAATAATTAATTTCTATTACCAAAAACAAAACAAAGAACAAACAAAACCAAATTCCAAGAAATAACATTCAATTGATATAAATCAATGTATCAGATAAATTAAATAATCCATAATGTCTATTCTCGAACAATATTATTTCTTATTTAATTTGTATAGATCATGAATTCTACGTGAAAGGGAAACATCGTGTGACAAAGGAGTGTCATGAAGAAATCAATCCTGATTGAATGAAGTTTTAGGTATACTTATCACTTTGATAAGGATTATGGAGATTTGCACTACATGCTGGGTAACCTCTGGAGCGTGTCTGGCTCAGACTCAGACTTCTGAAACCAAGCAGCTCTAGTGGCATAAACGAGGCTACCATGATAGGCCAGGCTATGGTCTTGGCTATAGAATGCCAGCCTGTTAGTTTATGTAAGATGCCCATATCCTCATGCTATAGATGTAGGCTTCATTAATTCATTTTAGATATACTGTCATCTCAGTTGCAGAAAATCCCAAAGGGCAACTTATTTTTTTATTTTTTTTATGTATGCTGACAGCCAAAACATTCAGCTAAGCTCTCGAACTGAGAAGAGACAGGAATCTCAGTGATGGGATTCGAATTTTTTCTACTACCAGTTCTGTGGGCATGGCTTGGTGGGCGTGGCAGGGGAAGGAGGCTGCAAACTCTCCAGTCAGAGGTGGGATTAACCGGTTCTCCGAACTACTCAAAATTTCTGCTACCGTTTCTCCAGAACTGGTCAGAACTGGCTGAATTTGTCACCTCTGGACAGGATCTTCAATCTTTCTCAAAGAGGTACCTTCTAGTTATGACTGTGCCACATTTGGAGGAGATTAAACTGAGCAATATTTTCTTCTACAAGCCTATTCTTCCTTAAAGTGCACTAGTAACTGTTCTGATAATTTGTCATTGTTCAGTTATCCACAGGATAACTGAAATATCTTCCAATCTTTTGTTCTATTTTTTTAAACCGAAACAAGATGGGATTACAATAGCCTCAAAAGATATTTTTTTAAATCCTTCCTCTCATTTTTCTACTCAAAATGTGACTTAAAAAATTCACTTATCCTCAAGGAGAAGAGCATGTAAATGATGAGAACATGGTTTTCTGCAGACAAAATTGGAAGAATTGGTCAAGGAGCCTTCCTGAAATAAGCAAAATAGCTAACAAAATTGGGAGATTATTCCTAGAAACGTTATAAATGTTAGAGGTGGGTGAGTGAGTGAATAAAAGATGAATTTCAAATGCAAATATAGAAGGTCCATGAAGTGTGAGGTGGATGCATGCACTACGTCAAGGAAGAAAGCGAGCAGAGTACCTGGAGCGAGTGACCAGAGGGACTCAGGCTGAATCGGAAGGTCTCGTTGAACGAAGGCTCTCGGTCGTGCCTGCACACTCTCGTTTTCTTTTTCACCACCCTCTTTTGAGTCCCAAGGTTGACAACATAGAGCTTCACATATAAATCTGTGGAAACAGATAGTTTGGCCTTTTTTATAGAGCACTCATAGATTAGTAATTATTTCAGGATGGCAAACATTCACATGTCATTAAGATTTGAAAGAGACTTCTCTTGGGTATTCCTCTGTATTTTGAGCTTCACAACACCTTCTATGATCCCAAAGCTGTCGTAATGGTTATGGAATTTACTGAATAAAATTCTGCAGAAATCTGTATAAAAGAGATGAGGTTTAAAAGCCCATGAATATTACAAAAGGGAATTAAGGCTGTCATTTATTTTAGGACTTACTTTTCACCCAAATTCATTCTGTGCAATTCTATTTCTATTCCATTAGATATTATTTTATTACACCAAGTGGCCTTCACCTGATTTATTGGATAATTCAGTTCACTGTGTGAATTGGTTTTAACTTAATCATACGAATCAGATTGATTTGGTATGAATCAATTAGAATAACAATGGATGAGATTCAATTGCATTTTCATTTGGAAAGTCATTCAGAAATATAGATGGCTGCATTTCAGCCAGTGCTCTGAACTGAGTATTCACAGATCCCTATCAATTGGTTGATTGATAATGTTTTTAGGCATTTCTACTCTCAACAGCTAAGACTGCAGATCGAGAAAAAAGAAACAGGATTGATACTGATAATAAACAATAATGTCGCATTATATACAAGAAACCCATTTGCGCTTAATGAGCGGGAGTAAGTTTAGCAAAGGAGATTAGTAGGGAAGCCCTCCTCCTCCTCCCCCTCCTCCAACAGATGTTGAGTCTCACAACCAGGGTGGGTCATGATGAGGGAGATCTCAGGGCAGTTTTAGCAGTGGGAATTGGCAACAGAAGCACCAACTACCATAGACCTTAAGATAGGAGGACCCAAACTGTGCCTTGCAAGAGTTTTGATATAGCAATGCATCAGGAAAGGTTAAAATTCCCTTGGCAGGCCAGCTGTAGAAGGAACATCTCTATGGATTGGAGAAATCCATGCGTGACCTTGAGAAAGTAGAGACATAAAATTGTGTGGGAATGATCCTCTCCTTCTTTTGAAAGGTAGTGAGACATCAGCATATGGACCCACAAAGGATGTTACAGGAAGTCTGTTATCTTCCTGGTATCTACATCTAGGATGTAATGGCACATTGCTAAGAGTATTAACAATCTTGGGGCAAATGGCCAACCATTGCTAAGAGTATTAACAATCTTGGGGCAAATGGCCAACCAGAAAAGACACGGAACTAGTTCTGGAGATCACAAAAGCTTAGACAGGAATGTATTAGAATTGGGACCACAAATAGTCCCCCCCCATCAGATCTCCTGATCATAGTGGTTTGAATGATCAGATCCCCAAATCTACTGATTATTGAGTCCAACATTAGCTTGAAAGGAAGGATTCATGGAGTGCCAGTAAGTTCTGTCCTAGGTTTGCGCTGAGAGGACATTGAAAAATCTACAGGTGACACAAAGCTGAGGGGGTGAGTGGTCCTTCAAAAAGCTCTAGAAACTCTTGAATGATTGACATTTCTCAGGATAGGAAAAAGTCAGTGGGTCCTGCACTAAACAGGGGCCAGATGTATGTATGTATGTATGTGTATATGTATGTATGTATGTGTGATGACCCATAGTCTCTCAAAATAACCGAAAACCCAAAACATATATTAAAGTCTGGTAAGGCCTTCAACTTAACTTCACTGTTTTATTAGGCACAATTTAAAGTCACAAAAGTAAATAAGGAGGCAAACAGAAAACCAAAACAAACCGCATTGATGAGAGTTCCGAAGCAAGCTGAGATAACTAATTATAAACTCCAGGAAAATAGCCGAGAAAAGTCCATGGGAAGAACGCCAGCAAAGATAAACCTCTTTCAAGGTGAACACTAACTGACTTCAGCAATTCTAACTGCACAATTGCAAACTTATATACATAGCTCCCAGCTGCAAGCCACGAGGAGGATCATGGTAATCTCCTCTTGAGTAGACCTCGCTTTTCCCTGATCCTCTCCTCCCTGCGTGCCCTAGGATGGATAGGGGATGGGCCTGGATCCTCCTCTGACTGCTCAGCCGGCCTCTGCCCTTCCCCAGCCTCCTCTACCACCTCTGGAGCCACACCTCCACTCCCTGTTGACTGTCCCTCCTCTTCTTCAGAGTCAGTCTCCACCAGGGGCATGACAGTATGTATGTATGTATGTATGTATGTATGTATGTATGTATGTATGTATGTGTATATGTATGTATATGTATATGTATATGTATATGTATATGTATATGTATATGTATATATATTTATAAATACCAGTTCATGAACAAATGATACCTGGTAAATGATCTGGAGATTTAAACTTGTAAGTTATATTCCTGCATTGCAGGATTTCCACTATTAACTGTTCTCCATCGGTCTTCATTTCCTTTTTTAAGGCAATCTTTATTTCACCCATCACCTGAGTTTTACCTGTAATAGTAAAAACAAAAAAGCAAAATTACTGAAAGGAAATGCTGCTATTATGCTGGATTATCCCTGACCTCCCAGAATTTGGTGCAGAAAAAGTAATCAAAGGGGAAAAGGAAAAAGAATGAGAACATCAAAAATATAATTAATAGAAAAGAAATTGTAGAGAAGCGACTTCCAACCTTCATCACAAGTATACACAAATTTCACCTTTCTCCATTACCAAAAATTATCTCTTTATGCCATATCCCACCCCTTATCTCATGAGCAAGTCCATAAAACAACATTTTTTCTATCCCCCGGGTCAGCAGAAAGTTCACAAAAGGTTGTCAAAAGTAACAATATGACTTGTTTTAATCTTAATCAAGTAAACCAACTTTACAATCCTTTATCTTAACCTTTAGCTCATTTAAATATTGCTGCAGGATTTGGTTTCTTCAGATATCTATCCATTCATCACATTTCTACCCAGACCATCTCACCTAAGTGACATTTTAGCAACCCTGTTTTGGAAATAAAACAAATTATCCAGGTCACTTTCTTGGTTTATCATTTGTATTTTCCTTGATGTCCCATTTCTGTTGTATATCCAGTGAGACTTCTTTTCCAAGTCGTTCTTGGACTTCCTTTTAAAGTCCACTCCATATATCACTTGTGCAACCATCACTATCTGGTCAAATAAAATTTATCCCACACTTGTCATTTCTTCAATGTCATGTTTTGGAGAAAAATCTATCCATAGAGGCAGACAACATGACTGACACTATTGATATTGTGCCTATTAATTTCAAACTGGTTTTTTTTTTCAAATCTTTCCTTTAATATTTTCAATGTTACAATGTTTTGCATATTTAAGTCCCAGTTAATTAAGAAAAAGTAGGCTTGTGTTTCCCCCCACCTCTTAGAGTCTTTAACCCCCTTTAGTGTCTATTTTTTTGAAACTATAAATGTATTTATCTTTGTTATGGCCTGTAAAAAACAAATTTATTTCCTATGAGAAGCTGTTTGGTTTTTTTAATGTTATAAAATCTTATTGTAAAAATTTCTATATTCTAATTTTATCTGCATCCTTAGTGTGTTTAAACTTCCTAAGATCAAAATCTTATTTAGCTTTTTGTAATGTATTTCAAAGTCTTTCAATCTTTAAATTTATGATTAAAATTTCATTTCATTCAGGACTGAAGGCAAATTCACCGGGCATTTTCAAAGTTGTCATTCTAAAGCTCTCTAATAGCTTGCAATAATAGCTTAATAAACAGTTTCCAGAAGTGATTAGAAAATGAGGTTAATGAACGCACTGCCTTTTTAAAGGTGTCAACTCCAGTTGCAAGCAAGATGGCAATTCTTGTCATCTCCCAGCACTGACCCCCTGTGGGAGACCCTTCCCCTGGATCCTCCTTGGGAGAAGCAGCTGTCTGGACTGAGCACAAGGTGGCCCTCTCCTGCCCTGTCCTTATTGTGAGGGCCAAAGCTTTCCAGATGTGTCAGTCAGGGCTAAGCCCAATAGGGATATACAGTCTACAAGTTTAACTAATTTCCTACACTAGATTTGATTATCCTTGTACATCACTGGATGGGATGAATTGTCCCCTTTCTCACCATCTAATTGGAGATGCATGCAGTTTAGCATTTGGCATTGAATAATTGTCAGAGAATATTCATGAACTAGAATAGAGCTTGGTATAACAAGGTCAGCCAATGAATAGGCACAGCAACTAAGTCAGCCAGTGAGGACTGTTTTTGGAAACAAACTAGAATTAGCCTAGGCTGGAAACTGAAACTAAAAGTAGCCTAGGCATGGCTATATGTTAAGTTCTGCAACTCTGCAGCTATGTTGAGCTCTGAGTCTGTCTATTGAAGATGAAACTAACTTGCTTGCATGCTGAAGACTGGGGCTCTGCTCTGAAGTTGCAACATGTTTCTGTTTGAGTTTGCTCCATGCTGGAGAAATCTACAACTGGTTTGTAAAATCTTATTATGTTTATAAAGATGTTAAATGAAGCATCAGCCATCTGTGTTTATTTTTCTGCTGCTGAATTATCGCTGCAAAACTCTCAATAATATTTGCCTACTGACATTAGGTTGTTTACACTGAAAGGCCTATCATTGCTACCATCATAGCACTTTTGATTACAATAAAGCAGAGAGCTTTTTTTTTTTTTAGAAAAATAGCATTTAGATGAATAGAATAGCAACAAATATTTTTACAGACTCCTAGATAATTCACTTTGATAATTACCTTCAATCTCTGTTAATCCCACCCCTGATTGCTTCACGGCTTCTTGTCCATTCTGGCTCATCTTTCCTCTGTTGAAAAACATAGGTGGGTCTGCTATTAACAAAGGTGATTCTGTAAATGTATAAATATATAAATATACAGAATACAAAAAAAATCTGTTCAATTGATCACAGAGAAGCAAGTAGGATAGTAAAAAAATATGCAAGCCTCTTGATTCCCATTTGAAAAAGGCACCTGCGTTCAATAAAAGGTAACACTGAGAGCTACCATATCTGGTCTGATGCGTAACTACTGGACAGCAACGAAGACGCCCCAACAGCTTTCAAGTTTGACCACTGCACATTGTTAACCTCACCCGAATACCAGCCAAAGCCAGTGGCGCCATGAGGCTGCTTAACTTCCAAGATTAACCAAGTTGGGTTGAGTGCTGCTGCCAATGGAAGAACTGGCTTTCAGTCCCCACACAGACTTCAATGCACTCTCTCAAGAGTGTTCCTGCTGTCCTTGAGGGGACTCAGAGGCTGGAAATGGGACAGGAGGGCAGCCCAGAATGATTCGGCAGAAGGGAAGGCAGCTGCTTCCTGAGCTCTGAAGAGCTAGTCTACTCTTTTCTCAGTGATTAGGGAAAACACAGTAAATGATAAAAGGAAAAGCCCATACATTCTTGGAATGGGGAAAAGGTCCCCGGTGGTGGTGGTGGTGGTGGTGGTGGTAGTGGTGGCGGCGTTGTTGTTGCCGCCGTTGCTTCCTTCACTGTCCACACTGTACCCGCTGCCAAAGGTTCCGGTTGATGAGCCAGTGGAAGACACCGAGCTTTCTCCTGGCCTGTGGTTGGTGGTAGACCTGGCTGCATGGAGTAGAAAGAGTTACAGGGATTGGATCCCACCGTTTGGCTGAGCGGATGAAACCCTAACTAATCTAAATAAGATCTGGCTATTTGCAAGAGGGAATGGAAGTATTCTCACAATATTCTCCTGCCTTGTGATGAATTTTGGCTTTAGGGTTTTGCCCTACCTTTTCTGGGTGGGCTACCTGGGTGTAATTGAGATGCAGTTACAGAATTTGACAGCTTAGCTGAAGGCGGAGGGCTATGTTAACTGGGGCTCTGACAGAAGGCTTTTTTAGCCAAACAACACATTTCTCCCATAATCTCCTCAGAGTTATTGGATACTTAAACAACATTAATCTATCAGTAAAGATGTCATTGTAGAACTCAATCTTTTTAATTCAAGTAGCTCAAAGATTACAATAGTGAACAACTGTTAAAAATGCAGTAAGTGGCCAATTTGATTGAAGTCTATCAGTTAAATATCAGCTATTATATAGTTCGTATTTTGACTCAGTCCTTGAATATATTTCTTCAGCACTAATTAAAACTGCACATAACTGTTTAATTTTATTTCCCAAAAATGATCTAAGGAAATAATACCCATTTAATGATCCCAAATCCAGGAGGGGTAGCCAAAAAGGGAGAGAAGGCAGCAACACCTATAAGGAACCCTCCTAAAACTTTACTTTTTTATCATCTGTTTTCTTAATCTTTTGTGTTAAATATCAGGCCATTTTATTCTAGAGAAATAGAATAAATAGAATAGAAGAATAGAGAAAACCTTCATGGAAAGAAGAAAAGCGAGAAGAGGATCTGACCCCAACATGGCCAGGGAGAGCTGGCCACCCCTGCAGAGGGGAGGGAGAGGCGAGGGGTCATTCAGCTGGGGAAGAGAGGCATGGAAGCCACCAATAGTCCCTGCAGCCGAAGCGAGGAACTCTAGAAACATCAAGTCATAGAGCAATGACGGGACAATCTTGTCCTGAGGCCCCCTCAGCTCCACCGCCCTTTATTTTCTGGAGGTTGTTCGAGATCTGGCTTGAGTCACTGGCAAACACCAGGTCTTGAACTGGCTTGCCAAAAAGAAGATCATTTCAAACAGTACCTGGCTGCGGGTTTCTCTGTACCATAAGACAGCCTCTACCAGAGCAAGACCCGAGTCGCTGGGCTGTCGGATTCAATAGGGATGGCTGTGGCTGCTTTGGAACCAAGGCTGACCTCTGAAATCTCTTAGTGGGGGTGGGGGGAGAGCGAAGGGGCAACTGGGGTGCCTGCTAGTGAAGGGGCCTTTTAGGAGATGCCAGAATGGGAGAAGGTGGGAGTGAAATTAATCAATAAAGAAGCATTTCAGAGAAAATGCCCAAAGCCCTTAAATGTCTTCATACAGAGGTTGCTGTATGAAGATGGTGGCATTGATTTGACAGGCATTCCAATTTACTACTGAGCTCTCTTGTTAATTTCTATATTCCTGTGAAATGAGATGTTTGTATGTATGTGAATATTGCTCTCTTTGGGCCAAATTAGAAATATGTATGATCCTTTTGAAATCTTGGCAAGTTTTAGACTTTAGGTATATTAATTGGCGATTCTTTGCTTGCAGCCTTCAAAGCTGCTACATATATTTGATTATTAATGTATAAGATTTACACTAGAATCACATGAGAAATTGACACCACAGAATAACCCATGGTTTGACAATAATAGGGAAGATGTTTTATTAGAAAGCATTGGCTAAAAAGGAATAAAGCTGGTTTATTTATAATGGTTGTTTTAATGATTTTGCTCCGGTACATTTTGACTGGGACTTACCCAGAGTTTTTGCTTGGTATTATATACAGGTGAAATGTGCATTGACAAAATTGCACAGTCCAGGTACCTCAGTAGCTGGAATGCTAGTATGCTTAAGAAATTTTTGAACCCAACAATTAAATTTTACATAGAATTAAAAAAACCTGGATGAATATTAACATAATTACACAGCAGAAATATGAAACAGAAAATACAGTTTCTTTTTTATTTGATCTTAAATAATGTTTGAAAATGCTGAACATTAATTCCCGTGTTTGTCTTTACATGTCTGAATGGTTTATTGTCCTCAGACACTCCTCTGTATAGAGGTTTGCCACACAAAGTGGAAAGGGCAAAGCAGCTGCCGCATATGGCAATAGCACAGAACCGACCTGGCAGTTCACAGCCAGCCTCTTACTGAGTGAGAAGGACATGGCTCTTCTCAGTGGACACTCAAGAGGCTGGTTAAACAAAAGGCAGCCAAGAGGAGGAGAATTTGCACCTCCTGCTTATTCAGGCCGTTTGGGCTCCTGGAATGGCAGAAGACCCGCTTTTCAAACCGGATACAAAAGACCTGGGAAACCAGCTAAGTCCCAGCTCCGCTTGTCTACCATGACCAAACGAACACCCTCCGGATGGAATTCAGCAGCTGCCTTCACTGAGTCTCCCTGTTCAACTTCCAGGAAAAGATTTTCTTTTGAAAGGTAAGATTTTTCACAGCAGAATACACAGCATATGTCAGAGTGATAGCACTGACACAACAAAACAATAACAAGGCATCCATGTTGTAATTCCTGTGTGCCACCATAGACTTTAGTTATACAAAAAATGGTTTAATCATGCTTAAGGGGTTCAAAATAAACGCCTGCCATTTAGTTGGCAATATCAGCATGATGCCCTGGAGTTTTGGAGGAAGAGGGATGCTCTTTGTATTAGGGTCGATGTCAACCAGAGCTTATGAGACCAGAGCTTTGGCAATTAAGAAATCTTAAACCTCTTTTAACCCAGTGGAACATCGGAGGCCGCAAGCGGAGGAACAACTTCACCGTGCAATGAGTTAGCGGGCCCAGCCAGAAGGCCTTTGGTTCAGGCCAGGGATCCCTCTGCAGGGTGTCTTTCTGCTCACCTCCTTCAGGGCTGAAGGGTCCATCGGACATCACTTTCCTGAGGGCTAGTTGGCTTTGCTCTTTGTTGTCACTGGCTGGTGGAGGCAGATTGTCAGACTGAGTTCTTTGAATGGGGAGGACTCCCGCTATGCTGTGTCTGTGCAGCTTCCTTGCATGATTAGACTGACCGCTTTTATGGGCTGCTGTGGCAGTTATGGGTGAAATGGAAACCCACAATGTGTACCTCAGATGGAACCAGCTTAAATGTTAGTCATGCAAACAGAAACAGGGAGGTTCTCTTTTCTGCATTTAAATAGGCAAAGTTTCTTTGAATTCCAAAGAGACATCACACACGAAGAGCAGTAAATGGTAATTAAACTGGCTGTTTCTTTTTAATTAAAATAAAAGGATAAAGAAGACATGGAGGATTTGATTTCCTGCCTTTTGCATTACGCAACAGTGGCTGCACACCAATTGTCACGGGAGAGCAAAAATTGCCACCGTTGGATTACACTAATTTGCCACACACTAAATCCTCAACCTGTAATTCCATGAAAGAATGATTTACCCGTGGTGAAATACAGAAATACAGCTGCAATTGTCAAGCCTCATTGCTAATTAACATTTCTTATACCCCCCATATAATATAGGGCTAATGATTACATCGATAATAAAGCCAGTATTTAATTTTAATTACAGCCCATGAATTTCTGTCTGGTTGTACAATATTATCATTGGTTGAAGAAAACATTTCAAGGATGTTGTTTCTAAAAAAATAATTTTGTCCAAAGGAAAGAACATTTACTAGTATAAAACTGAACCAAATATGTTCTTTCATTTTAGTTTTCAAATTCTGATATTCTATAATAGGTCTACCCCATTTGCTTTTCAAATTTAGTGTGCTGGTTTTTTTTATAAATTTTCCACAATTCTCAGGTAGGGGTAGAGCTGGAAGCAAAGTATATAAGATTTAAATTAGTTGAGGCATTTAGTGACACCAAAGGAACAAAACACTGCAAACCTTTCCCATAAGAAGTGCAGGATCATGACATACTGAGCAAATGGGAAACATGCTGGAAAAACAACCAGTTTAGTGGCATTCTATATATAAATATATATATATATATCAGTAGAAAAGGAGATTATCTTGTATTTCTATGTATTTACACACAAACAGGCAGAATACTGAACAGGTGAGATGCACAGTGTGCCCAGAGCGGAAAGGAAAGGCCAGCAGCAGGGAAGATGGGCAAGCAGGAAGATGGGAGAAGGGTGGGAGAAGGCCACAGATGAGAATTAAGCTGCCATGCTGAGGAATTTTATTTGTGTCTTTTACTTGGTTGGAGGCGGAGCTGTTGGACGGCGGCTTCAGCAGCAGCGATGGCTGCCCCAGCATCTTCAAGGTGAGTTTGAGTTACACTGGTTTTGCTTTGGCTGCGAGATGGTCCGTGAGAACGCAGGTGTCCCTCGGAGGAAGATTTGGAACTTCCTGGGCTGCTGTGGGACTTCTCAATGGTGGGCATCTGCATATCTGGCCAAGAATTGTCAGAGAAAAAACACTGGGAATACAGCACATTAGCCGTCACCCACCTCAGAACCAGAGAGATTATCTATGCAAGAGAACGTCTTGTACACCGTCATCCCTCGACTGAAAACCACAGGTGGGGTCTCCTCCTTCTCCTCTTACCTTGCTGTGTTGTTGAGAATAAGAAGCAGAGAATAATGCCCAACCCTAATCTTCCACAGACCCTGAAGAAACAAACTCCCGCTCCCATGTCCATGTGCTACCTGCCCAGTCTGGACATTTGCAAAGACCCCAGTAGTTCCTAAGAGAAGGAAATTCAATGCTATAAAGCCCCCTCTTCCCTCAAAGGTGTGAAGTTAAGGTTGGAAAGTGGGTGACCCTTGTACCGCTGTAGGTTCCTCTACTTTGCCCCTGGCTCCAGTGCAAATCGGCTCTTAACAGCCCCTGTTATGGGGTCTCCACAGCCTCTGGAGAGCTTTTAAACTCCAGGGCAAAACCTTTGTGTGGCCGTGTTCCTGGTCAGCTTTGTCCTGTGGCAATTCTACGCCTGTGAAATAAGACACGGCTCCTACTGCTATGTTGAAGCTGAGAATGACTGGTGCAAGGCAATCCATGAGTTCCTGCCAGGAATTAGTTTAGAAACGAGACCTTCTGGAAGCCAAACTTAAGTCTTCTGGGGCTGAGCTTTACTCTCCGAATGCCTCATGGCCAGAACGGGCTGTAAACTGTATCGGCCAAAATGGAGACCACCTTCTATTCATTCCCCATCGCTTCCAAAGTGAGTGTGGGATGCCTTTCCTTGCTTCTCTTTTAACATCTCCTTTCCCCCACCCTACGGCCCCCAGCGCCTCCATCGGCTGCTTGGGTAAAGGAGGGGCCAAGTGCTCAGGAGGGGCTCCAATAGGTTCTACCCTCCTAAGAAGGGCAAAACCTAGAAGAAACCTTCCCTCCGCTCCTCTCCTTTTACCTATGAGTGCTCCCCCCCACCTCCCTCCCTCCCTCCCTCCCTCCTGCTCTCTTTCCCTCTCCCTCTCCCTCTCTCTCTCAACTTAAAAACATCTTAAGGTTATTTCTCCATCATACTTAAGAACGGAAATAACTTCCTGGCTAAGCTAGGGGACCCACAGTGCCTCTCCTCTGATTTCACATCAAATGGTCCATAAAGCCAGAGGTTGCCAGGAGAACCTACCCTGCTGCCCACAAAGAGGGGTGTGTGGGGTGGAAGCCTTACCTTTTGATGGGTCAGGAAAAATACCATGGCTTCTGCTCTTGATGACTGATGTTTTCGGAGACGGTTGGCTACTCTGCCCTGAGTGGGATCTCCCATGCTCAATGCTTTCACTCTGCTCCTTCAGAGTGTACCAGCGGGGAGTGTTATCCAGGGGAGAGGCACTGGAGAGCTCAATTAAGACCTAGGCAGAGACAGAAAGAGCAGCAAACCTCCAGCGTTGTAAAAGCAGAACTATTCTGGGTGCACTAAATCTCAACACTCAACACTCCAAGCTCGTTTTATACAGCATTCCTGTTCCAATGATTGTTCAGTATTTGTGTGCAAGGTCCTTATTTCAGGAGATTAGAAATTACATTGTGTTAGAGGGGAAGACATTATGGGGAGGAAAAGAAAAAGAGAGATAAAGAAGGAAGGAAGGAATGGTAACACAAATGGAGATGGTTATAGGGCACAAGATGAGCACTTAAAAAAATCTAAAAGTGGAAAGAAGAAAAAGCAGCCTGTTCATGAGCCTAGTTGGAGATCTTTGAGGGTCCGAGTTCCTTCCTTCATGCTTGTGCTGTGGAGTGATGGTTGACAGTTTTGAGGAAACCCCTGATGAGAGAAAAGTACTGGGAGAAAGAACCGCTCTTTTTTTCTCAGAGGGATTGTTTTAAGAATTGCAGGTATGTGTCAGCCTTCAAGATCTTCCTCCTTTCCTTTGCTTCTTTCTGGCTGCCATGAGTAACGGGGGGTGGAAAGTGTTGAAAGTGTTAATAACTGATATTGTATAAACTGGGGAGGGTTTCTCATTCCTGCTTAGCTTTCTCTTCTCTGCGCAATTGCAAACCTTTATCTGAGTAAGCCAAGGTCAACTAATCATCACCACCTGGAGATGTCCCCATGATGAAGTTCACAACTTTTAATTGGAAGAACCGTTTGAACTATTGGGGGTGGGAACATTTCACTCCCTTGATATATGTGATGTACGTGCCTATTTCCCCAGATTCAGAATTTTCTCGTTGCTACCACTAACTTCCAGTAAAAGATATCTTTTCTCTAATTAAAAGAGTCTAAGTATTTCTTTCTTGGATTTTGAATGGAGCACCAGCTGACAGTATGGTCAACAGATTATGGCTTCAACCAGAGTAGAAGACAATATAGACATTTCCAATGCACCCTTTGAGGTATCTCAAAGTTTCTGAGTATTTCCTTCAGAATTTCACCTTCTTTAAAAATGAGATTTTTTTTTTAAAGTACTTTGTAAAACATCTTTCATGTCAGTTTGTCTTTTATTTGGGCTCAGGATAAAATCAACCGGGTCTGCAATTTTTTACATTTCAGATTTTTTTCAATTACAGATAAATGTTTTTCAAACAACTTTTCTAACATACAGGAGTGGCAATTTATATATTAAAAAAGTAAATAAAATATAAATAGTTCATAATTTGTAGCAATGATCAAACATTCTACATTCTGATGCAGATTCTTAGGTATAAATTAAGATCACCCCACTCACCCCAAGTTGTATAAAATAAAGGGGCAACACAGCAATGATTTCAGCCTTCACCGCATTGTGTTGTTATTATACAATCTTGTAGTTTTATATATTATATTTCATTTAATTTTTTAGAAAAATATGAATGTTTATGTTTTAAATCTATAACAGTTCCTAAGGGCTAGGAGAAGATTACCCAGGATGTATGAGTGGAATGATACTTGAGCAACTTCATTGATCAGATGCAACTTCATAACCCATTTCAAAAAATTTAAATGTTTCAATCATTCTTAGAAGAACCTTCCCTATGATCAGAGAGTAAGAATGACTGGAACTGGGATTGGGACAGGAAGCCTTGATAAAAAAAGCCAAGCTGCAGGATTAACAGGGAGTTGAAAGGCACCCCAAAAGAAACAATGGCAAACTATCTCCTTATTCTTGGCATGAAAACGACATGGAGGGTGGTCTTAAACTCAAACTCAATGGAAATCATACTTTGCTTATAACTTTACAGCCTAATGCTAAGTCAGTTTTTGAAAAGAAAGAAGGGTAATTGCTATGATGGCTTTGTTAATGTACAGTTAAACCCTAATAAGTGGGTTTGCACTTTGGGCTAAGCCAAAAACAATGATATCCATGATTTACTAAATGGATGAATGTCACAATACATTTACTGTGTGTCTGTCTCTGTCGTGAGGCCTCTCTCTAGACCAGGGGTCGCCAACCTTTTGGACCTCAGGGACCACCAAACTCATAATTTTAAACCCCGTGGACCACTAATATGAATTTTGACTGATGGTGGCTTGGTGACATTGGTGGGACAGTCGGTCCCATATTCCAGAGCTGCAGGAGTCACAGGACTGGCCCTTTGGTCATCTTGGAGCAGCTGCTCCTCCACCTGGGTGCACCGGCCTGCCATGGACCAGAGGAGCTGCTCCAGGATGACCAAAGGGCCAGTCATGTGACTACTGCAGCTCTGGAATATGGGACCGACTTTCCCACCAATGTCAGCAAGCCACCATCAATCAAAATTGTATTGTCGTCTGGGGAAAGGGAAGATTTTAAAAAATTAAGGAAAATAGTAAACTTACTTCACCCAAGAAGTCATTAGAAGAGAATCTATCATAATCCCAGACACTGACTTCCAAAGTTTTCTTTTTCAGCTGCAAAAGATAATAAATTTTAGTTCTCATTGTGCAATTCACACCCAGCCCACAAAATACGCTCCAGTGAATAATACCTTCTTGTACCCTCTATGCACTGACAAGGTGACCACTCAGTAATTATTATCTTCACATCGACCTGGGGGGCAAGAGGGAGATTTTTGGAACGAATTCTGAGTGGAGTAGTTATTTGGTCAAGCTTTGACCAGAGGCATCCCAGAATAGACCATAGGAGTGGCTATCTGGAATGGTGTAAGGAGTTGTCTCATGCAACTCCTGCTCTGGCTAAGGACTTTGGACAGATTATATCCATGACCTCTTTTTTAATGTTTTTTTTTGGGGGGGAAGGCGAAAGGAAATGTACTTCATAAGGGTATCATGGCATAACTGATATTTTAATTTAAAGACATGATTGAAAGGCATTTTGATCCAATAAATCCATGAAATTAAACATTCAATTGAACTTGGACACTTTTAAATCAATCTGGTGGTTTATTAGATTTCTATAACTGTGTAATACACATATACATACACATACATACCACTATCACATAAGACTTGCAAGGATAGCAGCCACAAATACTCCATAACTTTGCCCTAGAGGAGCGAATATATACCGTCCCACTAATATATGCTATTTTGATCCAGAACAATTCTCTACATTTTCTTAAGCACGGGGAGTTAAAGCAGTTGCTTCTCATTTAACTTGGTTTTCCATTTATCTGTTTATTTACTGATCTTCCCCATTTATAAAAGCAAGCCAGAGGGTAAGAAAGGAAATAGGGAATGGCCATAATGGACGTTCAGAGAGGTGCGTCGCGATTCAAGGAAGAAGAATAGATCAGGCAATCCTGAGGTGACACACCGATCCCTTCTCCCACAGGCTGCCTTGCAAAGGACATACGAGTGGGGAAGAGGTGTTGGGAACCTTCCAGTCTGACCCTCTGCTCAATGCAGAGATTCCCCCCCAACCATATTCCTACCCGACAGGCCCACCTGGTCGCTATTAAAACCGGGGAGAGCCCTGAGGAATTTAGCTCCGCTGCTGAACAGCTTTTTCTTAAGAATGTTTTCCCGATAACAACTAAAAATGACTTTCTTATCATTTGCTTCTTATCCTGTCTTCTTGAACCACTCTGCCCTCTTCTGCAGTGCCTGACAGATTGGTTACTATGTGTCCCTGTAGACAAATATACCTGACATATCCGATTGTTCCAGATACACTCTGGCTACGAAGAGCATGCACCTTTTTTGGCTGCTCATCGCTGAAAATGTTCTGGTTTGTCAATATCTTTCAATTTGACACAACGTCCTGCGAGCAGAGTGTGGCCAATGCCAAGAAAAGAGGAAGAACAACTTTTCCACCCAGCCTTTTTCCCCTCTTCCTTTTTACTCCCCTTCCAAGTCTGCTACCCATCCCATTTTGGACACCTGTGTCAATTTGATCCCTTTTCGGCATTCCTATTAAAAAGAGAATTTGTGCAGCGTATTTCTGTGTATGAAAAGGATTTGTGGGTATGAGACAGATTTTATAGTAAGTATATGAAACCAATGGATTATTTTTCATAAATAGGGTCTTTTATTTGATAGATAATTATAATAAGTGATTATTAATTCAATTAGTTCTACTTCTTTTGGTCTAAACAATTCCCAGTTTGAAATGTGGCAAACCGGGAAACCTCCAAAACTAGTTTCACTCAGAATTGGCCATTTTTGTCGGACAAGCTGGGCGTTGCATTTAGATTTAGATCTCTGCCTATTGTTTATCTTAATCAGTGCAATTCCTTTCGGAAAGTGGACTGCCTCCCATTCAAGATTGCTTTATTTCAGAATAAAAAAAAAGAGAAGGAGCCTTTCCCCATCTCGCCTGTCTGCCTGAGCTCAGGGCTCCAAGAGGAATGGACTAACCACCTGCGGCCAGGAGATAGGGGAGCTGATTAGGGAAACCGTTCCACTCTGGACATACTCTTATCCCAGGAACAAAATACGCCTTTAGCCACAGACCTGCTCCAAGAAGATGCTTTTATAAATGACCGTCTGGTTCCACTCAGGGTTCAAGCTTTTCTGTATGTATTTTGTCTTTCTCTTGTTCTCAACGCTGAACGGAAGCAAAGGAACAGAGGATAACATCACTTTCATGGATCCCCTGCTGCTCCAATTTATAAACAGTTTTAACACACCTGATGAACTAAACTCTCAGTCTCCTACAGTCAAACAACATTAGATCATCTTCTATTGAGCATTCTCCATATTTAATCTTCATAAAATTAAAGTTTCGAATAGCCAACGTGCCTAGTTGGAGGCTCTGAAATATCTTATTAAGCAACTGAAAACAATTCAAGGAATATGTTGTATTTACAAATTGCTTCTACACAATAATATGAAATAATGATGAAGCAGCACTGGCTTTCCTGTAAAATATACTCAGCTGACAATCAGGTAAATAACACATCATATCATTTCCTAGCCTTGACTTTAATCATAGGAGAATAATGTGAAAATCATAAAGGAAAACTCAATACTGTACTATCAAATCAATACTGTACTAATGATAAAAATACTAACTTAATATTGCTTAAATTGTCACGTGTTTTCTCAAGGCTGAAAATAATACAAGCCCCTTTACTGCTGGGAATGTGCATGGCTGGTCATCTCACCTCTTAATTGGTTCAATTATTATTTCATATAAATAAATTTAAAGAACATTAACATATAGCAAGAATCCCATAAACCCCAAAGAACCTGATATAAAATGGAAAACTACAATTTATGCATAAAAATGATTTTTCAGTATGGTATTTGCATTTGCTAGCAAGCAATTCCTGTTAGAGAACTGGAGCAGAATAATTGCTATTTTTTTCCTTCCCGATGTTTCCCCACAAGGTCAGGGTCTGTTTTTGCCAGATAGATTGTGTTGATCCTCCAGCTTTGACAGGAACCGTCATTTCGCCCAAGTCTGACTTTGTGGGCTGAGAGAGAGTAATGAGTGGCCCAGGGCTTTCCAACCTGTTTTCAGGCTTAAGGGGGGACTAGAACTCACCATCTCCCGGTTCCTAGTCTGATGCTTGCCAGACACAAACTGTCTCAGAATAATTATTAATTGACAGTGCATCATTATTTCTGCTATATCAAAATAGTTGTGATCTTTCACAATTAAACCAGTAATGGTATCGTAAGAAGCTGCTGCGTCAATTTGTTGCCTATTATAAATATTCACCTCTGGCCATCGATAACCAGATCAGCCATTCTTGGAGGTGGGGGATGCAGTTTTCTTTCCTGCTTTGTAGATTCCTGGAATTCTGGGCAGGGCGGGGGGGGTGGGGAGGTACACACAGGATGGATGTTTTCATGCACAGAGCTTGAAGAGTTAAAGAATAGAGAATGCTCTACCTTGCATTCTGGACAACCATGACTTGGCTGCAAACCCGGTAAAGAAACAAGGCATTGAAAAGCAATAAAAAGGGATACAGGAAGCAAAAGGTTAGAAAACATGATGCCAACCATATATCACATAAAACATGATGCCAACCATATATCAAAAGAGGTTCAAAATTGAGGAAAGAATAAATGTTACACAAGATATCTGGGCACATCATAACGGAATGCCCTCCCCCACACACTGAAAGCCCACCATAACAGCATTAGCAATATAGGTCTATTAGGTCTCAATCATAGATAAATACTATAATTCATCACTTTATTTATTTTTCCTTGAAGATTTTATTTATGGTTTTTGTACCAACTGTCGTATCTGAGAATGAGAAACTGATAGCTGATCAGAATGCTGAATTGTAGCTTGATCCTGGTTTAACTGGTCTATGGCTAAAACCGATTCCAATGTCCCATTGTCAGAGAGAAAAGAAACGTCCTGTTTTTTCCCACTTTGTGAGCAGATTTGATTTGAACTTTTCTCTCTCACAGGAAGGACAGGAATGGAGCCAGCTTGAAGCGTCCTTGTGAGGTCTCACCAGGTCGAATAGGTTGTGTCATCTTGCAGAAAATGAACAGAGATCATTTCTTATGTTAATTCTCTTCATTAATTGTAATGTAACCTGTGGCTGATCTTGTGGGATGAGGAAAGAGGTGTTACTTAGGAAACAATCAGGCAAGAGAGGGATTAACAAGACTGACAACCAAACTCCCTGGAAAAATAATTCAATACCCCCCACCCCCCACCCCACACCCCTGCGAAGCTAGAAATGCTGATTACGTGGTCATGAAAGGATTCTCGCAAAACAGAAAAACTGAGAATTGTTGCATGGGTGAAAATGTCTCTCTACTCACCCTCTTCCCGGTAGAAGATAAACTTTGACAAAAGGATCAGAATAACCATTGTTGTCACGGGGAGCAAGATTTCTTGCTTGAAGGACATGAATAATCAAATTGCCAAGTTGCTTGTCATAGTTGATTTGAAGCTAAAGAGAACATTAATTCATGCTAGTTATTTCTGAACTGCTTCTGAAAATAAAGCCATTTTAAAGCCAATTATGTTTTTACAACCTTTCCCCCCCACTAAGCTAGAGTAATTGGTGAAAATTATAAGCTTCCCTTAAAGTATCTCAGAAGAAATTCACTTCAAGCAAATGAGCTCCAAAAAGAAAGAAAAATGGGGAAAAGTATTTAAGCATACTGGCAAAAATAGACTCCTTGGATGGACTTTCTTATTGCCATCTTTTGGCATTATTTTAGTTTCCAAGTTTGGCCTACACCCTGGTTATCTCTTTGTCATCTCTCAATCAATCAAGTAGTAGAGTGAAGGGTCCCCAACACTCCCGTCCGTGAACCAGTGCCAGTTGGGAACTGGGCTGTGCAAGCGGAGGGCGAGTGCACAAAGCTCTGTTGGCGTGCACGAAACCATCCCCTCCTCCACCTGCAGCCGCTGGAGTCAGAAATGTGGGTACCCGTGGCATAGCGTATTTGATTTAATTCTGGGGATGGGGGTGGTGGTTGACTGAGTGCTGCCACCTGCTGGGCACAAAAGGTGAAGTCTCTCTCAAATTGGGCTCATCTCCAGAAGATGGCGGTGCCAGCCTGGCTGTCCATCTGAATATTAGCCAGCTTTAAAAATACAGAGAGATGGCAACAGCAATTATAGATAGTGGATCACGAAATACTTTGAATGATTAAAAAATGAGCCCGAGTGAGATTGTTCCAGCTTGCTGCCCACTGTCTTTGCTATTCCAGAGGGCACTTTGGCCTGACATTTACTGAGAAAATGGAGTCAGCAGAGCTCCTGTGGTGCAAACAGCCCATTCTTCTACTTCTGGGTCCATTCTAAGAGTTTGAACCCAGAAACCTATTTTTCAGTCACTAGAACGACAAAAGGCTGGGTGGCTTCCAGTGAGGATTTTTTAAAACTTTGCTCTTGATCACAGCACTATTAATTTATATTGATGTATTAACTGTATGAATATATGCTGAGCCTTATAGAACAGAGTTGGGGAAGGAACAACATTCCTCTGGGAAGGAATGAAACAGAACTAAGAACGGGGTTTCTTTTAATCCCAACCATGAAAAAATACAAGAATTAGTTCCTGTTGCAGGCACAGGAATAGAATGTGGTCAACAGTGAAGCAGCCTTCTGCAATATCCTCTTCCTCCTCCTCCTCCTCCTCCTCTGTCTAACCACATCCTATTTCCCTGGCTCCAGCATCCTCCCTCCCATTTGCAGCGCGGTCTAACAAAGGTAAGACAAAAGCATGTTTTACTGAATAATCCAATTACTGTATCAAACATCCAAATTGTTCTATCGCTGCATTGTTACCTTATCCCAAAGTACAACCACAACAATTAATTTCATACTTCTTGACAAAGGTAAACAATTTAATATGAGGTTGTTACCTGGATTTCTCCGGTTATGGGATGGGGACCCCCCTTTGAGACTTCAGCAGGCTGTCATTTAAAAACAAATAAACCAGCACTGGTTGTTATTTGCCTCTCTTTACAACTGGATTAGAATTATCACAACATTCTTAAAAGTATACAGTTAAGATTAATGAACTATTCATTTGGTGGCCTAAAAATTCAGAGCTGAAATGAAACTTTGTAAAATGGTGATATTTCCTGTAGTAATTCTGATTTTAATACCTAGTCTCAAAGGTGACTTATTTATTAAGAATTCTAGATTAATATAGCCATCATTTATTTTATAAAAAGACCTAAATACTTTGAATTTTTCTTATCAGACTACAATGTTAAATTAGTATTTCTGCCTATACAAATACATCCAAGGCTTAAGCTTGGGTATGTATATATGTCTGTATGTGTGTGTGTGTGTGTGTCGGTGTGTGTGTGTATATAAAGGGTGTTGTGTGTTTTTGTGTAGACAACGCCTGTGAGCACCATGAGAAGAAGTCTCCAAAGCAGTCACGAATGAGCCACCCTACGGCTTCTGATGGTGCAGAAAACAAAAGAGCCTCTCACCCCGCCATCTATTCCTCCCCAGGGCGAAGCGCCTTCCTACCTTGCTGCTGTGCCGTTTCTTGCTCACTGAAGGAGAGCCAGGCTGCCCAGGGCTGGGCACAGAGCTGGAGGTGGCCGATGTTGTCCCCGAGTGCCCGTGGGACCCCTTCTCCACGGGAGCCTGTTGCAAAGAAACCTTTTGCAGCTCTGCAGCCAGTTGCTTAGGATCGACTCCTGGAGATTTTGTTTTATCCACTGCGAGCCCAAGAATTCACAGTCAGTTTTGCATACAACCACATCATCATGTCTACCTACAGTTTGCTCAGTTTTTACAACAATAAGAGGAAACAAAGTGGAAAATATCCAGAAAAGAATCCAGAACATTAAATCAAATAAATATTGGAATTTCACACTTTGGTGTTCCAGATAAACTATCTCTGGGAAGATAGGAACCAAGCTGGGATGCCTGGATCAACCCATTTGGGGAGAAAAGATGGAACTTTCCTGCACCAAATTACTTCCACTTTAAACATTTTCTAGTTCTCTAAGGGAAAAAAACCCAAAAGGCACACTCTCGGCATCTCCCACCTTATCTCCACTCTTGCTATAAATGCAAAAGCTACAGACTGTACAAGGGAAGCCAAATCCTTCCCACCTCGGTCTGTCACCCATGTTAGATGCTGTTATTTACCCATCTTCCCCGGCTCAAGCAATTCCAGATGTTGGGGATTCTCACCATCTGACAGCATGATGACATTCCTGAAAGGAGGAACAACAAACCTCAGACAAAAAGATCCCTGTCTAGACCCTGAAGGATCATCACCGGAGAGATAAGGCAGATGAAGCAGCTGCGGAACATGGCTACCTTCAGTAGCTCTGAATGCTTTGTGATTGGAGAAGAAGGATGCTGGGGGTAAACTTATGAACGAAAGAAATGTAGCGGACGCTGAAATACATACACTTTACACAATATCCAGATGGGTAACCACCTGTGCCTACGTGTTAAACTTTTTTCCAGTATTATGAATCACAGAGGGCTTTACAACCACTTATCTTTGAACCATAGATCTCCGTACTTGTAGATCTAGTAGATTTCCATCAGGGTTTGTTGAAGAATTTATGAGTTCACTGAAAACTGAATCCAGAAATCCTTTTATCTAAGTGTTATGCAAGTTAATAGCATTCTTGCAATAAACAATATGTTACGAACCCATTTGGTTTACACGTTGCCAAAGAATTTTTTTTCAGAAATGGTGGTTGATTATTATGTAATTTAAAATGAGTCAGTATGTCCTCTGACATTAATATTGTTTTGACACTTCTGTCTCAAGTGGAATGCAGAGTTTCTAGTTCATTAATCCCATTTCTTTTTATATCAGTTTACTATAAGGAATAAGGAGATATTCCTTTAATACTTAAAATCACATTCATTTTCTTTTCATATCAAATATTATAAAGTGCAGTTTGCCACTTAACATCTGTGAATCAAGAAACCATAAGAAGCCAAAAAATAATGGAAACAGGAAGATGAAGAAAAACTCACAGTCTTACACATATTTCAGCTTCCCCACTCTGCAGGCCGATGATGCTCTGGACCTCTTCGTAGCTCTTGCCCGTCAGAGGAAAGCCGTTCCACTCCAGCACCTGCATACCTAAGAAAATGGGCACAAGGCAGGTTCTGGCATCAGCACCATGGACCCTAAAAACCTACCTGAAGCAAAGTCTCTCAGCTGTGTTGGCCTCTGAATTGATGTGATAGGATCAAAACCTTTTCACCGCACACGAATCATGCTAATTTTAAATTTTGCTTACCTTGTTACCTTGTTTCCAAACTTCATGGAAAATTTCTGTCTCACAAATAAACTGAATAAGGGGAAAAGGGGAAAAGGAAATTGAGGGACGAAGAGCTGGCATGATGTGGCATCAGGAGTCATTGGGACCAATATGGACTTTTCTGTGGTAGGAAAAATCTAAATGGAACAGAGGCTCAAACCGGAATGTGGGTGTAAGTTTCATAATATTAAACACCAGCACAGCCAAATGAATTTTTCCCACTGAATTCTTCTTCCTGACCAATTATTCCCTACATACACTGATCTCTTTTCAGCAGGACCAGCTGTCTAAACAGGGTAGACTTCTATTCCACCCCTGAGGAGACCAAACTTTTCTTGAGTTCTGTCAGGACTAGAATTCCTGTTCTGGCCAACTATGAAGAGACGAAGGGAAGCCACGCCACACATGCCTGTCTCTTCCAGAATAAACTCTTCCCAGTTTTATCACCTAAAACCAGAAGCATACTCTGTCTCATGGTAAGACTGACCCTAGTTTTTATATGGGCAGTATTCAGACATGCACAAACCCACACACAAAACAAAATGCAAAGTAATAGAATAAAAGACTTTACTATACCTTACTACGGGAATTAGAAGTATATGAGATGGGAAACAATGTTCTAGTGAGGTAAAGGAGTCCGTATACAGAGGAAGTAATTGGGCTGAAAAAACCCACCATGTTATAATACAGATTCCATAATATGTATTTAATGTGGCCTCCTAAACTGGCCTTACTAATCAGTCAAATATGCAAAATGATGAGCCCAAACGGGTTGGCCTTTTGTAAGACCTTGGAGGCCTGATTTTGTGCCTGGCCTGGAAAATAAGAATGGTGAAGATTGCAAGATGTCTACAGTTTCTCAAAGGTGTTTCTTAATTTCCCTGATAATTTAACAAAGGACAAGGAAATCAGCCCTCCTAGAGTTGATCCTAACCAAGAAGAAAAACTGACTGAAAAAGTAAAAACATGGAGAACAATTGGCCACTTCATCTTAGGGTTCCAGATGCTACAGAATAAGAAACTGAAGCCTAGCCACACACGCACAGACATGCAAGGAGAGCTGATTTCAATGACTTTAGAGATGTACTTGGTGAGACTTCATAGAAATCCCGAGGTCCAGTGAAGGACAAGGTTGGGAACTTCTTAAAAAACACTGGAAATACTCCATTCCAATAAGAAAAAAACAATGCTGAGCAACTTACAAATCAATGGTGGCTATACAAAGGTCATTTGAACTGACGGTTAAACTGAAACTATGTAGGAAACAGAAGATGGGTTTAATTGTTAGTGAACTGTATCTTGTACTGAGGTGTATCTATAGGGAAAAAAAAGATTCTAGGCTAAAGTTCAGCTCTCTTAGTCCTGATATTCAGGTCAGGAACTAAAGCTGAGCTAACCTTAAGGTCACTCTACCACCCTGGCAGAGGCATGGAGTGTGTCTTAACTAGCAGCTGTTTAAAATCTCCACGCAAAACTAAATCTCTCTCCCCTCCACATACACACAAATTAAATTACGTTGGAAAAAAGCAGAATTCTTGAACTGCTTTCACTTATACAAATAATATGCTGTTTAACAAATATCCTTGTTTTGAAAACCTAGTTAATGAATAAATAAATCATGGTGAAACATTCATAATAATGGATGGCAGATGTTGCTTAGAGAAGAATGCTAATCATGGTTCTGTATTTCAAAGCAGTAGCCCAAATACAAGGTGACCAGGGCAGGAGTGGCTGAGGGCAGGGGATCCAGGAAAAGGTTCCCGTCGCACTACTCTACTCGCTGTTTTAATAGTTTCCGTAAAATAAGTAGGATTTCTCAGGGAGACACTTCACATTCTTAATGTTTCATAGCTCAGTGAAGATAGATCTGGCTGTCCTGGATTTGTTTCTTCTCTTTTGGATCAGATGTTCCCAGCTGTGGTCTAGGAAACACCAGGGTTTAGTAAACGTGCTGCACGTTGACTCCGATATGCATACCGAAGTGTTTGTTTTCAAGTGGCCAAATTCTTTCAAGAGTCTGATGTTCTAGTATAACTATCCTAGTATAAATTAAGCAGGATTTGGTGATCTCAAGAGATTGCAGCAATAGACACCTCTGGTGGCTGAACTTCTGCCATGCTGCTTTTACTACCACGTGGCTGACCTATGGCGGATATGCTGTCCCTCAGCACTGTCCTTCATGGAGCTACCCTTGGAGACTGCTTGGAAGTTATGGTTGGTGGAGAAGGGAGTCCTAGGGACAGTTTTAAGGGTCCATGTGCAACCATTTTTATGTGATCTTCATTGGTTGCCAGTTGGCTCTAGGTCCAATTCAAGGTGTTGGTTATGATTTTAATTTTCCTAGGCAAGTTTGATAAATAATATAGTGGAGTCTTCCAGTTTTCTTTGCTGTGCTTTAATAGCTTTTTCTAAAGCATGCCCAGGTCACAATTGATTTGTTTAAGAAATCTAACATATGACAGGTGGACCTTTTAAAAATTTTCACAAGAGGTTCTCACAAACAGACTGTTGGGGACAATATCTCCATTTACAAAATGAATGTCACAGTGGACACATCTAGTTATTAAGAATTTATTTACCAATTTACTATTTTTAATTATTTAAGAAAACTATGGACACTTGTGCATTATTGTTATTGCTGGCTTAGAAATAATGAGACCCTGAATTCCAATCCTTCCTTAGGGCATAAAAACCAGATGGGTGACTTTGGGCCAGTCACTCTCTGTCTCTCAGCCCAACCTACCTCACAGTGTGGTAGTTGTAGAGAAATACGAGGCAGGAGTATTAGGTATACTTGCTGGCTTGAGTTTACCAAATGTATATTTCAAAAGACAGGATTATAACAACAACAACAACATCAAACATTCACATCTGCCCATTCCAGGTCCTTGGAAAGGATAGTTGTCAAAAATACCAAATCCAGTCTAAACACCTGGCTGATTGTATATCCAACAACAACAACAACAACAAAGCAGCTACTTTTTATAGCTCAACTGTTCCAGAAACTCCAAAAGGTCTACAAAAGAGTTTGGCTCCCTTGGAAAAAAAATGACTTACCATGATTTTCTGATCCTTATTTGAGGACCTTCTCCAGCAGATTCTGTTTTTGCTGCTTGACCTATTTCTTTCCACTTATTCATCAGGTCTTCCTAGATTTTTCCTTGAGGATAATCATCTTTCCGCATGCATACCGATCAGTAGCAATGAAGACAAAGAACTGGTCACTGTACCTTCCATAAGTTTCCCTGTTTGCTCAGCATTTCCACCTGGTAGAATCCTTGCAATGTAAGCACCAATTTCTCCACTGGCTCCAGGAATTTCTTTTCCACCTACAACTCGAAGCCCAAGTCCATTGCCTGCATTTAAAAAAGAAAGCACATGGTAATTTTTAAAATATAAGAACAAAAGCAGTAATGTAATTCATAAGAAAGCTATAGGGTTTATTTTTTTTGCTGTAGCTGTTCAATTCTATATTTTTTCATTCAGAAATATTAGTTTTGTTCCCAGCCAGATAATATAACTTGAGTTCCAGTGAAACTGACAAGAAAGAAATTTGTTTTTAATCATGTGATTAAATCAATCAATCAATTAATCAAATGACTTGATTTTACGAACAGAACTGAAAAAGACCAAGATAAGAGTGAAATAAACTCTCTGTGTGTATGTTTGCATATCATGAAAACTCAAAAGAAATGAAGAGGCAACTCTGTTAGAATATGAGAAAGATGGTAAAACGGGAAGAATGAAAAACATTTCTCTCTGCAAATTTCAGAAAAGCTATAATGTATAGAGCAAGTTAGGGAAATAAGTTAGTTTCCATTTAATGCTGAAGTCACAGTGATGATAGGCAGAAAGAACAATTGTCTCTTGACAGGAATGCAAATGTAGCATCGTACATTTGTGGCCTGAGATCAAAGCAAGACATGAAAAGGCAGTCTAATAATCATCCTGCTAGGAAACCTCAAATGGGCATCAACCCGGCCTTTCTTTTCGAAAGAAAGAAAGAAAGAAAGAAAGAAAGAAAGAAAGAAAGAAAGAA